GCATTTGGGTCATAACTCAAGGTCTTTGGTCATAAGTTAAAACTAAAACTCCAGCCATAACCCAGGTTGTTTGTATGGCAGGCTGATTGTAACTTGAGGGTCCATTATGTATATAATTTTTTCTTTGGAAACAGGGTCCTACTATGTAGTTCAGGCTGGCTTTCGACTTGCTTGTGTAGCAGCAGATGCATAAACTCACAGTGATCCTTCTGCTTCAGCCTCTCAAGTGCTGAGATTACAGATGTGTGCCACCACACCCAATATATACATATATATTTATATATATATTAGACAAGAAAGTTCTCATATATAAAACCCTAGCTATTGTTCACATAAAGAATACAAAATGTTACTTTGCATATCTTTTTATATTTGTGAACTTTTTTCTTATCATGGCCTTAAAATTGAAGGTCTGCATGCAGGAAGAATACTCATGAAGTAAGTTTTCAGCCTCTTCGACCTAGACACACATTACCCTGTACAACTCAGTTGTTAATGTGCCAAGAGCTAATTCCAGAAGTTGTAATTTAGGTCTCTGTAGCTTGGGTCATGAATGTGCCTGAAGGCCATGTGTTAAAAGCTTGGTTTCCAGCCTGTGGTGCTTTTGGAGGGTGGTGGAACATTTAGGAGATGGGGCTTAGCGAAAGGAAGTTAGGTCACTGGGGGGCATGCGCTTAAAGGGGGTGTTGGGACCCTGGCCCCTTCCAATCTCTCCCTTTTCTTCTGATCATCATGAAGTAAACAAGCTTCCTTCTTCTTGCCCTCTGATGTGATGTCCTGCACCATCACAGACCCAAAGCAATAGGGCCAAGAGACTATGGATTTAGACAGTGGAATTTCTGAAACCATAAGCCAAAATAAACCTTTCTTCTTCATAAGTGGATTGTTTTAGTTATTCTGTTACAGTGTTGGAAAGCTGATTAACACAAGCACCAATCCAATGGTACATTACAGGGAACAGGGTGATATTGCTGGTCTATGTGGCAACCCATTTTCTATGTGCTTTTCTTTCTCTTTCTCACTAAGGTATCTCCTTAATGTAGCACATTCTCCCTTTAAGAGTCTGAAAGCTGAGGGTATCTTTTTGTAGCTACAGGATTTCCCACATCCTAAGTGGTTAGTTTAATATAATAAAGCAACAAAGCATCTTACCATTTAATCATGCCATAGGAAATGTCTTTTGCCAATAAAAATAAATAAATAATAATAAATGATCAGCTGTTTAATTTGCAGTGAATGGTACTTTTAGGAATAAACAATGTGAAACAAAACCAGCAACAGCTAAAATAGCACATGGTAAACTCTTAAAGAATCATGTCTGGGGGGGATAAAAAATTGATCTGGTTAAAATTAGGCTTGTTTTGTTTTGTTTTTTGAGACAGGGTCTCATGCTGCAGTGTAGGCTGGCCTTGAAATCATTATGTAGCCTAGGCTGGCCTCAAACTCTCAGTGGTCCTCCTGCCTCAGCCTCCCAAATGCTGGGATTATAAATAGCAGCCACAAAAGAAAATTCACAAAAGTCGAGCTACAATGGGTGAAATGTCATGGTACATGGAAAAGACTTGATCTGAATGAAAATAAGTGGAAAAACTGGAAACAGCTAAATATTACTTTACTGAAAGTTGATCAAGAAGTTAAATTGGATTTTTAGATTTGCTCAGAGAAATACTTTTTCCTCTATGTCTTTTATTGAGAATTATGAAAACACTGTCCTGTTATAAACCACTGGGATGAAATAGGAATATACAGCTTCCATCCACCCAGGCAAGGCCCCACTTCCTTACTTTATAATCAGCTGCAGGTATAGTTCATAAAATATGTTCTAGATAAAAATTCATTAGTGTACTCATAAAAATGTTTAATAAAAGGAAGTTAAAAGTTCCCCAAGGTTGTAAAAAAGGGAGAAGTTAAAAGATGAGCTTTAGAGTCACCGATTAGGACAAACACAAGGTACCTCGATGTACCTGGGTCACTCTGTCCTCTGTCGCTGTTGCCCTGAAATGTTGCAGTCATCTCCACAAATCACCCTATCTGGCCTTGCTTTTCTCTCCTCCCTCTCTTCCTGCCTCCCTCCCTTTGTCCTTTCCTCTACCAATTCTTCTTTTGCTGTCCATGCGTACTGAGCTCTATCACATGCCAGGCACCTTTCTCAGACGCAGACCCCACCTTGGAGAGAGGATCCAGGCGGAAATGAGCACAGCAAGATGAGCACTCTCGGGCCGGGGTGTTGTGTTATAAAGATTTGGTTGTGTGTGTATTTAAGCTCAGGACGCACTTCTGTTAGGGACACTGCTTAGGCCAGCATTGCCAAGATTCCTGGGGAGTCACCTGACAGTGACCAAGTGACCGACTACACTCCTCGCAAGGGCCTTTCTGGAGACCAGGGCCAAGGGCCCTGGAGCTGGAGATGGGCTCTGATCACATGGTGCTGAGTGGTAGAGCACTTAGTGGTGTGCCATTGTTGTTTTGATTGGGGTTGAAATTCTTTGGATTGTCTTTATTTTCAATATGTAGAAGGTGAGTTTTACAGGGAAATAAGTTAGACAAGCCCTGGAGACATCCCTTAGAAATATCCTAAACTGGGTATAGGCTGGGCACTAGTCTGTAATCCCAGCACTCTGGCTGGCAGGAAGATTCTAAATTCAAGCTTAGCCAAGGCAGTTTAGTGACTTAGCGAGACCCTGTCTCAAAATTTTAAAAAAATTTTTTCTAAAAAAGGGCTGGAAATGTAGCTCAGTGCAAAGACTTTGGGTTCAAACTTTAGTACAAAGTATATAGGAGGGTGTTGCTAAAGGAAAATCACATTTAGACCCTGTAGGATTGGAGTCTGGGTGACAGGAGGGCTCCTTGCGCCTCTCTAAGCCCCCGGGATCTACGGTGTGTGTGTCACCCAGCTGTCCCCTCATGCAGTTCCGGCCTTGGAGCAGCCCGGGAGCCCGCACCTTGTGGGGAGACGTGGTCCAAGCAGGAGGGGTCTTGGAGGGCAGGTAGGAAGAAGAGGACAGAGGGCTTTCCAGGCGCAGCGAAGGAAGCCAGCTGGCTCTCGCTTGCTCTGACTGCCCCTGCCTCGGCTCTGCATCCTGGCCCTCAGCTCCCAGCCACCACCAACTGTACCCGGTCAGGTCTGTGACCAAGGATCTTCCTGGACAGCGGCTCAGAGCCAGTGCCCAGGGCCTCTCCAGGTCTCACCTGTAGAGCCAGCAGAACCAAGAGGGCCCAGTCCTGTTCCTGTGCCCCGCAGGATGCAGAGAACTCTGCCCGGGCGCCTGGGCTTCCTTCCACCTTGATTAGCCCACCAGTGTTTACCAAAGAAGTCTGAAACGTCTCATGTAGCCAGTCTAATGGCTACATTTATTTATTTATTTATTTATTTATTTATTTATTTATTTAGTATTGGGGATTGAACTCAGGACTTTGGGCTTGCCAGGCAGGTGTTGTGCCGCTGAGCTACCTCCCTGGCCCTACATTTATTTTTAAAGTATAAAAAGGGTGAGATTAGAGAAACGAGAACCCCTGGGTAGAGTGAGGTATTTAAGTCACTCATCCCCACCTTCTGTGAACCCGTCTGCGTCTCCTCCAGCTCGCCTTGGCGCCCTGAAAGTTCACGAGAACCCGCAGTCCTCTGGGTCTAGCACACGCTTTCTTTTGACCTCAAAGAAGCCTGGCTTCAAATGCACCTGGCGATTAGAGACTTACATCCACAGAACATTGTTTTTTCCAGTTCCAAGCTTCCTCTCTCCTTTGTGGCAAGAGAAAAAGTTAGATATTATGGCCACATCTGGTATCTGCATACAGACTCCACGAACCACTTCCTTTTCTTCCCACTTGCTCGCCGGCACTGGATATCCAGAAACAAGGCCCAGAGAAATGGACAAGTGAAGTGAGAGTGTTCTGAAAACTGCTAAGTTCCCTGCCAATCCAGGGCCTGGCAACTACGCAGATCATTTCCAAAGTGCTTTTGACTTGTAGAGGGACTAGGTGTGTGCTTTAAAGAACACGGGCTGTGTCTATCTTCATTACTGTTACCATTCAAGTGACCTTCCCCCCAAGTAACACAGATAGAGAAATGACACCTTATGCACACTTATGCACACCTTATGCACTGACCACTGGTCAGTCTGGGGATGGACCTGGCCATCACATGGCTTCTGGTGGGGCTGTCGAGGCTAGACACAGCCTATGGTTCAACCACGGCCTCAGGAAAGAGCATCTCCAAAGCGGGAAGGAGAGTGACAGACTGGTTTCCAACTCAAGAAGATGCTGGATAGCTCAGAGCCAGCAGGGAGGGACAGAAAGGGGCACATTTTAAATGTACTTTAAAAAATAGTTGTAAGCAGACTACAAAGAGGGTTTGTTTTTGTTTTTAATTTCTGATTTTTTTTTTTTTTTTAATACAGAGCTATGGTGCACTCTCTACGTCTACCAAACCGAAGGCTGAGCTGGGTGTGGTTATACACACCCATAATCCTAGCGCTCTGGGAGGCTGAGGCAGGAGGATTGCAAATTTGAGCCCACCATGGGCAACTAACAATTCAGGGAGGCTCTGTCTCAAATTTAAAAAAAAAAAAAAAGGAAAAAAGGCTGAGCATGTATTCAATGCAAAAGCCTTGAGTTCAATCCCTGTACTCCCAAGAAAAAGAAAGGAAAAAGAAAAAGAAAAAATAAGGAAGAAAGAAAAGGCTGAAATGAGAGGCAGAATAAATTATCAGACTCTGTTGCGGTTCATAGCCTCCACCGTAAGCTTGCAATGCGAGGCCAGGCATTTATTTTCAGGACTCAATAGAGATCTGGGGTGCGAAGCAAGAGCCCAGCCAGTGGCGTCACTCTCCAGGAAAGTGAGTCTCTCCTGGGGCCTCCTGGCCTGGGCTACTTCACCTCCAGCCTCACTCGCTCCTCTCCCTGCTGAGAGATTGAGTTTCACACTTTTAAAAATAGCTTCTGCTATTTGAGGTGTGCTCTCCTGAGCCTGGCCCCACCCACAATGCTGCCTCCCTGACCCAGTGCTGCCCAAGGTGAGCATGGTTTTAGGCCCTGGTTTCCCTCTACAAGGCTTAGACTTTCTCACCACCAGAGCGGGCCCAGCTGTTTGAAATCCTCCCAGAGTGAGGGCCTCTGTTAGCTCAGCTCTGACTTCCTTCACCTCCTTAATAATTCATCTGGCTCTTCTTCAGCGGAAACCTGATGACAGCCCTGCCACTTTCTTAACAAAACGTCCTTGAAATTCCCAGGAGTCTCCCACCATCCCATCCCTTGGCTCCACACAACTGTTCTGAGCCCAGCTCAGGGGACGAGCCTGGAATGAATCCGCAGCCCTCAGAAAGCGCCTGTGGCCTGGGAACTCTGAGCCCCCAAGGGGATGAAGAAGACAGTGGTTCCGGAAGACATTCCAGTGAGTGGGGAGATACACAAGACCTGGAGACTCTCCATCGCCCACCTTTACTTCTCGTGGCCCCTTGTGGCTCTCAGGTATGTCTGTATTCATGGGGAATTTCACCCCCACTTCAGTTACTCAGAATTAGACCACCTGCTTTGCCTCAGAGTTAAGCCTCTGCATTTGTGTGAGTTCCTCCCTGTTATGGTTGATACATTGTGTCAACTTGGGGAGACTAGAGGTCTGACTAAGTGACTCAGCAGGGAGCCAGGGTGCTTACTTTGTATATACCCTGAGCCTGTGGAAGAGGAGGGCATGGAGATGATGTGAGTGCTACACCCCCCCCTGGGTGGGGGTAGCCTGTTTACAATGTAAGGGAGGGAAAGAGGCTGCTTGCGCCATTCCTCCCTTTTTGCTCTTGTTGTTTTTGCCGTGTTCTGCCACCATGAACCTTTGCTCTCTGCCATCACTCTGCCTTGGAGCCAGCCTAGTATGGACTGAAACCTCCACACACTGTGAGCTAAATAAACCCTTCCTTCCTTAATTTTGGGCACTGGGTAATTTGTTTCACAGTGAGAGGAAAGTAACCAAGACACTTTCTTTCCTAGAAGAGCCCTTTCACCTCTTCCCCATCACTTACCCATCCATACCTCTCCCTGCTCAGATCTGCTCACAATAGCGGTGACCTTTTATTGGGTGCATTCTATATACCTGGTACTCTCCCAGCTAGGAATTAGTGTCTGCATTTGATGGAGAGACTGAGGCTCAGAGAGGTCACACAGCAATGTCGATGGCAATCTACGGTGGCGGGTTTTTCTGGGAATATGTTATGGGGAGAACGGATGTGATCATGCACATGTACATGCAAAGCACCTAGCAGGGAGCCAGGTCCAGGGCTGTCCGCAGTCCACGGGATCTACCATGGTGCATGGTGGGGCATATGTGTAGACACACCTGCGGTTCAGAAGGAGCTGGATACACTGATTTGACCATTTGCAAATCCATCTTAGGTGCAGCAAAGAGACACCTTTGATAAGGCCCATCTGGTAAATGTAGTAGGCTACAAAACCCACCAGCATCTGTAGGTAATGTCAGTTGTCCAGATCTGGCCCAGACTTTTCCCAGGATAGCAAGGGGCTTCCTGTCAGCATCCCACGATCTGAGGGACAGTGTTCCTGTGTCCCTTGGCTGAGCTCGGCAGGGTAGGCCTCACTTCCTCCTGCTGGCCAAGGCCCTGACAATGCTCCCCACCTCCCAGAGACCCTCCAGGGTCTGTCTCCCCTAGGCTCCGGCTTGTTGGGTCCAGCACAAGCCTCCAACATGGAGTCACCTCGTCTGACCCCAGAGGTCCCACTTCACACCTGCATCCTAGGGTCTACCACACAAAGTAATGAGAGGCCACTGAGCGGGGGTGGCCCTGCCCTCATGAGAACCCAGCTCGCCCCTTGGCTAGGCTGACAGCTGTGGGGTGGGGAACGCTTCCCATGGCCATCTCAGAGCCACAGGAGATGTGTAGTTCCCCCAATCTCCGCCCCATTCCATCTCACCCTTCTCAAGGTACATGTCCTCCAGAAGGGCAGGCCTCTTGCCCTTCCTCCTCGTCCTCAGGCCACCTTCTACCCAGACAGCGGTGGTGTCAGCCAGGCTCACTTTTCTGGGGAGAGGTAAGGAAGGGATTGGACTCAGGGCCTCACACATGCTATGCAAGCGAGCTGAGCCAGATCCCCAGCTCTTACTGTTATTGTATTATTTTGAGACAAGCTCTTGCTAAATTGCACAGGCTGGCCTTATACTTGTGATGCTCCTGCCTTGGCCTCCCAAGTAACTGGGATCACAGGTGCAGGCCACCACACCCAGCCAGGCCCACTCTTGGTATGTTACGTAAAGGGGAGATGGGAATCAGGACAACCTCTCTGCCCGTTGCCTTGCTAAAGAGGTCAGGGACCTGTCCTTGCCTGCTTGGCTGTCCCAAGCTTCCTGGGTCATGTTTAGATGTGGCAGCCATGAAAACACAGTGGTTTAGTATCTGCATCTGTGAAAGCACTGGCCTCCTTAGAATGGCTCCACACACGGGCTTTGAAATCAGATTTGCTCCCTTCTCAGCCATGTGTCAGTTGTACCTCAGATACATTTATACACTTATCCTTCTTCAGTGCCTCTGTCTGGGGAAAGTATTTACGTGAGGTGTGAGAACATTATCAGCACAGTTCCTGGAGCATGCAAGCTGGAGCAGTGTGGGTCACTGTGGTTGTTATTTCTGCCTGTCACCTCCATCCCTGTCCGGCATAGGACTGACCCAGTGCCTGTGACTCCTTTGTCTTTTCCCAGCTGCAGCAGTGCAGAAAGGGCACATGGCTGGGACGCAGAAAACCACAGGAACGTATTTAATGTTTTGTGTTGAATTTTAATATTTAATTTAATATGATTTAATATTAAATGTTAATAAAATTATATTTATTTTAATTTCAAATTTAAATTCAATTTTAACAGTTTCTTTTACAAATCTTTTTTCATTTTTAGCTGACACATGGTAATTGTATAGACTCATTGGATACAATGTGACCATGTGATGCATGTAAAAGATGTATAATGATCAGATCAGGGTAATCGACATCTCTGTCAATTTGGACATCATTTCTTTGTGTTGGGAGTATTCACAATCCTCTACTAGCTATTTTGACAATTTCATTAATTGTTGTCAAGCACAGTTATCCAACTGTGCTGTATAACCTCAGAAGTTACTTCATTTCTCCCATCCAACTGCCGCCTGCCCCCTTTAACCCTTCTCACTTCATCTTCCCACCCCATCCCCTTCTCAGACCCTGGTAAACATTATTCTAGTCTCCAATAATTTCATTTTTATGTATGTGAAAGTAACTTCTGAAAACTTTTGGAAAACATAAAGGACAAAGCCACCATAATTCTATTAGGCCAATACAATAACTCTTCCCTTTCCATCTTTTTCTCCTTTAACAATGTTTATACAGTTGTGCTCTTCATGTTTATACATATGTTTTACCTTAAACATTATAGTCATGGTTCCAGGTTGTAACCTAAACTTCAAATTATCATTTTAATGGCCAGATCATAGTGCATTGTGTGCACGCATGTGTCATCATTTATTAGGATTTATTGGGAGGTTCCGGGGATATAGCTCAGGAGTACAGTGCCTGCCTGGCAACCATAAGGTCCTGAGTTCAATTCCTGGTACCAAAAAAAAAAAAAGAAAAAAAAGTTAAAAGGATTTATTGGGAACTGTCAGGGATTTTGTAGGCACTTTATTTTTGTAAATCTCCATGGAATTTCTAGGAGACTGGAAGGTTGGCTGTTCTCTAAGCCCTCTGTGAAATATCTGAGTACGATTAAGAGTTGTAGCTCTGCAGGGGGAAGTGTATGTGTAAGGGACAGCATGGATGATGGGGAATGTGTGCCCAGGCAGTGACGGTGGAATCCTCCATTATGTATGTGGTAGCTTTGAGGGGATGACCTGCCAGTCTTCCCATGGCATCTGCCCAACCCTCCACTTGACCCTTGGAGGCTTCCCCCTGGGCCCAACCTGTGGACAAGGTCAGGTAGGGGCTCCCATTCTGGGGCAGCCTGTTACCAACCATCCAGTACCTCTTTGGCCAAAGCCAGCTCATTGGATTAGCTGTTCTCCTCTTCAGTTACACCTCTGCCTTGTACTCTTGGGTAACTCTTCCTGCCGCTTGCCACATTCTCTCCAGGAGATCAAATCAGCTGAAGCATTTTTTCATTCACTGAACAAATATTTATTGAACTCCCACTATGCACCTAATGTTATTTTTCTAGGAGTGGGAGACAGAGTGCTAAGCAGGTCAGACAACATCTGGCCCTCGTGAAACCTATATCCTAGTAGGGGAGCCAGACAAAAACTGCAGGACAATTTCTGATATGAAAAACAAATATGTGATAGTGAGTAGCTGACAGGAGAGAGAAGATATCTGATCAGTGGTGAGCTTCGAACTAAGATCTTAAAGATGAGGACACAGGTTGGTCACGTGGGTTGTAGAACTAGAAAACAGAGGTGTCTGGCAAGCAGAGACCAGGGAAAGAGGAGGAGAAGGCAGTGGCGGGAGAGGGATCAGAGCCTTATGCTGGGCAAGATGTGCAGAAAGGAGCTGTGGGTCTACGGCGTACTTCCACTGTCTGTGTTTTACACTGATTGCTTGGCTGGTTTGCTGTGACTGTCACCTGGACAGAGGAAAAGCAGGGAGACTAGTGAGGAGGCTTTGGTTGTAGCCCAAGAGAAAGGGTAGTGGCTTGATAAGGGGTGGTAGTGATGGATCTGTCTGAAAGTGGAATTTATAGGACTGTCGATACATTGGCCATGGAATGAGAAATCACAGGTGTTCCTTAGGTTTTTGCCTTAATGACTGAGAGGTACCCAGTTTGGGGACACTAGGGTACAAAGAAGCTGGGGTGGAAGGGACTGGAAATTTCTGTCTAACTGGAGATTCATATCCAAGCAGAGCTGATCAGGCAGGCAGTTGACAATACAAGTCTGAAGATCAGAAACTAGATTGGTGAAATCAGCTGTGTGAATATATATACAAAGGAGAATGCACCCGTTTCCAAAGACACTAAGCTAGATGATCTCCAGAGGACAGGGGAAAGGCACAGAATAGAGGGAGCAGAAGTGTGTGGTTTTTTTTTGCTCTCTGCCTTTTGGAAGCCCAGCCAAGAAAGAGCCATCAAAGGGAACTGAGAAAGAACAGCCAATGAGGTTAGGTGGAACCAAGGAGAAGACGAAGTCCTGGGAGACTTTGTCTATAAACTTCCCATACCATTCTCTTTCTCAGCACAAAATAGGTTATGGAAATATTTTCAGGGTACATAAGCTGTGTGGCTCCTTGTTCGAGGCTTTCCTTCCCCCAGCATAGACCTACTTGTGCCAAGGGCGGATTCATGGTTGGCTGGCAGCTGACCTAAGAAGCTTCCAGCATCCCACTATCTCTGCCATCAAGGCAGCTCCCTCCACCTGGCTCCAGAGCCCCACCTGGGATCCCACCCTCCTGCCCCACACCCTTTCCTCCTGGTAGGGCTTATCCCTCTGTCGCACCTACATGGCGTGAGG